TGAATGTTCATTCAGACAAACGAAGTGCCCAACTCATGGCTGTGAGAAGGCATCTAGCTCTGGTAGAGACACAGCACACCACACCCCCTCTAAATTTCATGTTCCTACTGGCTAGTTACGGCAATCCCCAGCTTGGCGGTCTGCCTACCATGAAATCTGTTTCCAAATGCCACGTGCTTCCCATGCATTGCAGTGGAAACCTATTAAATAAGGGAATTTCACCCATGGGGATCCTTAGCATCAAAGATCGTTATGCTGATTGTCAACATCCCTGAGCTGCTCTTTGGATCTTGCTTCCATTTTTGAAAGTCACTGTCATTTTGAAAATTGACTCAAAAATCTTACTACGGATTCCGTATAGGGGATATAATGAGAGATGATTTTGCAAAAAATCCTAAGCTTCAAATAGAATAATTACAGAATTTAAATGCAAGAGGAAGAAACCAAATCCCTAGAAAAGTCTCCTGGCCTCCCCCAAGCAGATGCAGATCTGCATTCAAATTTGGCAGCCTAGCTCACTTCTTTACTGACCTCCCATTTCAGTTTTCCTGTTTAAGTTAATTTTGCAAGAAGGGATTTTCCAAGGCAGTTATCAGTGTGGATTCAACAACAATGCAACACATTTCCCCCAAAGAGGTTTCTAAATAAATTTTAATTCCCATAGGCTCAAGTAAATGTTTTCAAATTTGATTCAATAATCCATACACACTTAGAAATGTCTTTTCCCCCATGTACTACAAGACAAACATGGTTTATGGTTCTAAAAACTTTGGCTAATAAAAAATTCTAATTTCCTATCCTGAATGGTACAAACACTTAATGTTTATTCACCTTTCAATGAACCAGATGACATAAACAAATGAAATAAAATCAGCCTTTAAGAGCATTATTTCAATCATTAATTCTCTAAATGCTTCTTAAAGAACACATGATTTTTGGCAAATTCACCAGAAAGAAGGAAAAACAAAAAAATCACCAAAAAAGTCCTAGAATAGAGCTTTCTAAATCTCCTGAGAATTCTGCATGATTTCCTTTTAGAGAGCAACATGAAACCTCTTCAGGATGTCTTTTAAAATTTGAGCAAGATCTCAAAAAAGGTAATTACAGCACAGTTACTAGTAGGTATCAGTCAAGAGTGGCATGAAGATTCGGGCTGGAGGTGGGGGATGGCAGAAATATAATCTCCTCTAATAGCATCTAGTGTGCTGTAAGCTCATAAGATGGAGTAAATGTAGAAAGGAGGGCAGTGGAGGTCACGGTGAAAACACAGGTCCTCAACTGGTAAGCATCTTCACAGTACATGGAACAAAAAGCAAGAATCTGGAGAGGAAGGGAGGTGCTTGGCTCACCTCCATTTTTGTAACTACGTCTTCAAGTCAGTTAAAACTCCTACCCTGTGCTGGGAGTATGACCAGGTAGCATTTCTAGAGACCACTGAATTCTGGATCCATCAGATCAATATTGACTGAATAAAAGGCAAAATTAGTACTTGATTTTTAATAGCCTGTTTTTAAAATTATCCAGGGTGATAATGTTAACACAGAAAATTACAATTTGATATTATCATGTTAATATTGAACTTACCTACTGTACATTAGTGTTTCGCAACTGCGATTCTACTTAAATAGCAGCTTCTGAGACGATTTTGTATGTAAGTTCTCGTCCTAACTGTAGTAATAATCCTTCAGTGTTTAGAACACAATACTGCCTTACAAACCAGCTCTGATGACAATGGAGAGAGACTGAAGAGCTGACTATGACTAGAAAGCTTACGGCTATAAAACCACTGTGCCTAATGAGAAATGTTTTAAATAATCTCTTGTGAGAGAATTGCTTTGCGTATGACTACAAAAAGGGGTAAGTATTCCCAACACATAAATGAAATATTTGGTACAATCTGTAACTCTGCAGGAGAATTAATGCCACGTGCCCCGTCTGCAGCAGAAATCAAACTACTTCCCTGTCACCAAAAAATCAGTAATCTATGCAATAGAGTCTAAAAGCAATTATAAGAAACCATAAAAGATCTTCAAACACACATTCTACCCTGCTGCAGGGAGTTAGTCCATGCCAGTAGCAGGACTTTGCATTCGCCCTCCTTGAATATCATGAGACTCCTCCTGGACCTTTCCTCTAACCTGTCCAGGTTATTAAATTGTTTGTTTAACTAATGATGTTACAGTGCCTTAACTCAAGATAGGCACTATGCCACAAGTGTACAAGTCGCATCATCTGAATAACCAACATTTTCTTTTGAGCCATTCTACTTCAGTAAGAACAGCAGCTTGCATTTATCATGCAACATTTTATCATGTTTTATATTCATATACCTTACAAATCTTAGGAATTAAGCTTTGTATTATTTCAACATTTCAAATACAAAACACTGCCTTACTGTATTCTTAAACAGATATAGAGAGATTTAAAGATTTAACTGATGCTACACAGAAGACTTATGCTGAGATCAGGGGAGAACCGAGTCCCATGCTCTAACTCCATACTAATCCTTATCCCCAGATCTTCAGCATGGGATACAAGTGTTGGACAGTCATTCCATTAAAAAGTTATTATCAAACTTACTGCTCTTTCTCAGCGCAGTACTGTGAACTGCAGATGATAGGAGAACCACCAGAACAGTAGATAATACAGCAAAAGAGGCTCCTCCCTGCTCTGGATGGAAATGGTTGCGTGGCTCTTGCAGAAGTACAACAAAACCTGATTCGCTGGAAATACACTGGAGCTGAAATTTCTCTTTATGAAGCAAAGACTAATTTCTTGGGAATACTGAGTTTCATTGTATAATCAAATTCATTGATTAGTACCATTAGAAACTTCACGTTAGTACTTGCTACCTGTCACTGCTCGCAGTTAATGAACTTGGGGAAAAAAGAAGAAAAAAAATTCCCTGTTTTTCACATGTCCATCATTCACACTACACAGGGAAGGGCTCATTTGTTGAAATATACGCAAATACATACAATTCAATGACAAGTAAAAGAGCACACCAAGCTTCTTTTGACTTTCATTATGCGGGATTTGAATAGCAAACACTGTCTGAATTGTGTACCTTGTCTGTATAAAGCATTCAGTATACCATGAGGGCTTTGGATGGCTGGATGTAATCGGATACACTCAGACTTGCACATACAATACAGAACAAGATTAATTCTGGAGATGTGCTACTGCCATACACTGTCCCTTCCAGTTCCTCAGATACTTGTTGTGGTGCAGGGAGCTCTGATCGCTGTCACAGAATATATTTTATACTTCTCAGCAGTAATTCTCAGAATTTCCATTTGGCGGATAAAAGCAGATTTTGTGCAGAGAAGCATTCCGTTATTATGATTTATGAAAATGTTTTTAGAAGTTGGATGCTGAATATTATATTAGCATAAACATCAAGTTCCTAAAACAGTTGTTTGCTGTTTTCAAAGAGTTTCACCCTCCAGCAGAAGAAATAACATAACATAGGAGACACACATCAAAAAGATGTTACCCGTATTGCAAAGAACTGACATTTTTTAATTTCCTGCCTGCCCAAAAATACTGAATGATCATACAACCAAACCATCTTCACTTTCTTTACTTGCCTTGAACATCTCTCTTGGGTCACATCCTCATTTACATCAAAGTTCCCCTGGTTTTGCCTTTCCAAACTACAGCTTTTTTATCTTAAATGAATCATTTTTTCCTTGTGAGTTTAGGCCTAAAGTAGTCATAAGGATTCTAAACCATCTTCCCAAAAAAACACTTAAAATGTTCAATTGCTGTGTTTCTTTCTAAAAATGCTAATATAAAGATTTCTGATACAAAAGCTATAGCAAACACTAGGCCTTAATTACAGGTTTGGTAGAATCACTGCAGTAAAAGTTGTAAGTGCCCAGAAGTTGAACAAGTTAGTTATCAGATATCTAAGATGAGTAAAATTTGCCACGCACACATATGAGCAAAGATGAGAAATTTTTTTGTCTTAAAAATTTGTAAAAAATCCTCGGAAGTAAATGGCTAAATTATACACCCATGAAAAGACTGAAAAGCTTACATGAACGTTCAAATCTTGCCTTAAGTATTAAAACTATTAAGTATGATTTTTTTTTTTGTTTTACTTTTTTATTTTATTTGCACAATTCATATTAAAGCTGTTTTCAATCTCAATTTCATTATCTGCATAGGTTTTTAAAAAAAAAAAACAACAAACAACAAAGACAGCCACACGAACAACATGAATTACCACTACAATTCAAGGTCTTGGCCTCCAAGTACATCAGTACTTGAACCCATAAGCAATAAAAATACTAATAAAAATCTAAGGATAAAAATCCCTACTAAAAATCTTTCCGTACTCCTATTCAGAAGCACCAAATTCGTATCGTCCCATTTCTCATGCTCATCAGTCCGCAGAACTGTCCTACAATCTGATGCAAAATTGTAAACACAAATATGAACTTATCCAACCATATATTTATTCATAGCTTCTCCCTAATTTTGAGTTTTCCTCCTCCTTGTTCATATTTTCTTTACCAGATTACAATTAACCTCTCTATAGATTGCTACTGAGTTATCTCATGAAGTTTCAGTAAGATTCAACCTCCAGTAACAGAAAGTGCATTTAAGCTCCAGTTAGTTCAAAACAAAGCACAAACAAAGCTTTTAGAAGACAATGAGTTTATCAACAGAGAAAACAAAGTTATATTTTGCGAAGAGTAATTTTTAAAATTGTATTTCCACTTGTGAAACAATTGCAATATACATATTGAATAAAAATTCATGAGCTGTAATACATAAGTTCTGTCTTAGATTTTAAATATATTTCAATAAGATATATTTTTAATGTCAGAGAATCAAATCCCATGCTCCCATACCAGACTTCCACCAAATTAACAAATTTTACTTTCACTGAGCGCACAGGTAACAGAAGAATCACAGGTGCATAAAAGGTGGCTGATGTAGGAGCTATTAAAGTACAGAATACATACGAATAAAGACAAATGAGGCACTACCTTTCTTTTTGGAGTCTTTCTTTGTGCTGGTTTTAACAGCCACTTGAAGTTCTGTCTCAGTTGACATCCTATATCCTTAGTCCTCTTCACACAGATCCAGGATCTCGGTCAGGCTCATTTAGAACGTCTCTCCAAGAGAATAATTTAGCCTTTCAGATACTGTAACTCAAACAGTTCATCTCATTCACTCCTCTTGAGTGCTGTTAAAGAAGGAAACAAAATGTAATGGTCATATTCTGAGTTTAAAACATTAAAAAAAAAAAAAAAAAAAAGGGCAAGCCATTGCAAGCTTACTAAGGAAGAAACCTATGAGGTTCTCAATCTACAGAGTCAATTGCCCACAATTTTAGATGCTTTGGTATATCTGAGATGTCCTCACAGGCTAGAGACACCACACAAGGTGTACAGAAGACCTGTACTTCTGGACCAGCAGCTGGACGACAAAGACTACGATCTGGGAACTAGCTGAAAATGTCACCAAAAGCAAAAAATTCTGCAAGGACTCAATTCTTAAATGCAACAATTCCAAGGTAAAAACATATTGCCAGATAGTAAGTTCAGCTTTTTAGTCCTCAAATGCTCTTTCAATGCTTTCGTTCTCCTACTTGAACAAAGACCAATGAAAAATATAGTCATTACTCACACTCAGAACATCATACTTTGTCACTCCTCTTGCTTATGATAATGTTTCCAGTATAAAAGAATCTGCCTCCATGTAAACAAAGCTGTAATTAATGCCCATCTAGCAACTTTTCTTGCAAAGACCTCCGAAAACACAGTTAAACCTTACAGTTTCCACAAAATACAAATGGGATAGGGGGCAAAAAGGTAACATTTAGGGAGCAAGCTACAGCTTTACATAACACGCATTTGTTTGGGAGATACACAGATGCACCCGCTGTGAACCCACGGCAGTGACTGCAGAAATGTGCTAGAGCAGTATGAGGAAGGCAGGTTGTAAGGCTGCAAGTAGGACTGGGGATGTATGGGCTGTGGAGGCTAAGAATACACAAAAATAAACAATCAAGCCAGAGTAAAAGAATAAACCATTACTCCAATTCTTACTGCTGGTCCCTCTTGCTTTGAAGGATGAGCCATCTACTTCAGCCAGTCTGTCGAGGGCAGAGGACCATACTGTCCTGAAGCCATTTGTTATGATGTTCCCTCACCAACTGCAACGTCTTATTGCTCTTTCTTTTTGTGAAAAAGTTCTCACTATTAGCACAATTACAGTGAAGTCCATCTGGCCTGTCTGAACAGCTGCCCAGTTATTAAATAAGCATTTAATAAAGAAATTAACCCAGCATATCAGCTGGTTAGCTGGCCAGAGATTAACTACAGTTATAGTAATTTACTAATGTCTCCTCTCCGTAATTTAAGAAAGTAATACACTGCAAACATTGAAATAGTTTTGACAGTTTAAATCACTTTTCACGGAAGGGCTATGAACCCACTAGTACTTTCAAATCCAGGCTCTCTTTTAACATTTTAAAATGCTTCAGTAACATTACACTGCCATGCACCGTCTAAAGTGATTTAATATTGCTGAAGTGTGTCAGGGGCTTTCTTTAATAAGCTCTTCAAATCCATATATGTAATACAGAATATTCAAAGATAGCTTTTCAAAGTCTGCTGAACTGATTTTGAAATACAAAATTCCCTGTTCCTCCTCTATGGAGTCTGTGTAAGTGCTACATAGCAAAAAGGAGGAAAAATAAAGCAACGTACAAATCAAAGTCACAGTGCTTGCTAAATACACCTTCTTGGAACACCTGAATAAACTAAAAGCATTTTGATTAACATTCTTAGTTAAAAAAACAGTAGAAAAGCACAAAGCAAATGAAGGTTGATCAGAGAGAGAAAAGGAGTAAGATAACAGCCCCAAAACTGACAATCTTCCAGGATCTGAAGCGGTCTATGGACACGTCCATGGACAGGGAGATGTCTCTCCCCCAGACACGGTCACGGTGGGACACCACGAGCGGTGACTGCTGGGCCCCGGCACAGATAATGCATTCACTGTGCTGCGAGGGAACCACCTCACCCTACTGTCGACAGCGTCACTCTTAACTTACGCTTGAAATCCCCCCAGCAAACAGGGAGAAAAGCGCTGCAGAGAACAGATGTCCCTTGCAACCCCCATCTCCTTCCCTTCCCCTGCACACAACCCAATTTAATAATGTTTAGTTTTACAGCACAGTAGGGATGTATCAGTCTTTACAGCTCAGTGGCACTTACTTAAAGCATCTCTCAAGTCACAGCTCGATTGACAGTTTATTTTTCTAGAATTTGGATTTATATTTACCTAAAGGTTAACTGCTTAACTTTACAAGAAGCACTAACATGAACCACTTAACGAAGGAAAATATTTATAATAGGTCCATTTATTAAAAAAAAAAAAAAAAAAAAAAACCAAAGAAAAAAATTAAAAAGAAATACAAAATACCCCCAAGGTCAAGAGTTAAGCAAGGTTTAATGTCTTAGAAGACTGTTGTGGGTACAAAGCATCAAGAATGTCATCTCCTGTTTTCAGTTATCCTGTTGAAAGTAGCTGACGTAGTAGCATCTGTATGGCACTGAATATTTTAAAATAACAACATATGACTGCTATCTCATTTGAAACTCTCCGGAAAAGCTATATCCCCTTGAGGCTATCCCACTGAGTAATATTTTTTAAAATAAATGCATGTCTGTTTTTGGACAGATTCACATATTGATTTACTTTAAAACCTAATCAGGTCATACTCTTGCAGGCTCATAGATCCTTGAATAAAGTAACAGGTATCTTTGTAAAGGCACACAAACATTTGTCAGACGCAAGCTATAGTTCAAACTGATTTTGCTACAGAGACAATTCCTCCAAAAGTATAGGTCTTTATGTAAGCCACATTAGTAAACTTTCATATACCGTCCATATTTCAGCTGTTTATTACCCAGATGAGAATGGCAGTCAATCTGCTCTTCACTGCAACAGCTTTTATTGTCTCCTCCAATCTAGGTCACTGTTGTTAAATACTATGGTCTTCCAACTGTGGGAAATACTGCAGCATGTGTTTTATCAATGAGATGCTATTTTCTTTGATCATTTCTGCCACATTTCTCTCTCTGCTCTAAAGACAAAATTTTGTTAGCTCATTTAAAAAAAAAAAAAAAAAATCCATCATCTTACACGTATCCACTCTAACAATCTTCTTGTGTGCCTTGTTACTGTTCCAGCTATTACAATGTTATGTGCATGCCTCAGCTTTTCCTAAAGAGGATTCAGAGCTCTTCGTTTTAACAAAATACTGACATTTTCTGTTCCCTTATTAAGTGCTACAGCAGGAACACAATCAGTGCATTCTGGAATTAACTGGCTTTTAATTCCAAGAGAAGTCTTAAGCCTGCATTCTGTATTACTCCTACGCCAGCATAAAACCTAAAGCCTTAGTGAAGAAGTATTTTTGTAAATTCACTTTGCAGTTAGGATTAACACAGGTTGGACCTTTTATGCGCAGGGAAATTAGTCACATGCTCCACCCGCCCCCCCCCACGCATCTGTAAAACAGCAAGTTCTGTCAAATCATTTGTCTTTTCAACCGTGCTTGAGCAAGCTCATGAAGGGGTTCTTAGGCGACTTCCCCTGGACTGAGTTATGAAGGAGGTCAGACAAGATGATCATAATACTTCCCCTCTGGCTTTAAAATACATGAATTTATCAATTTTCTTCAGGGCTTCAAAACTTAAGAAGTTCCCTCCCCTGAAACCAGTTTCCATCTGCTTATGTAAAGGAAAAGCAGTCTTAGAAAGGATTTGACACTAAGCCCCAGCATTCCCTGAGTATTTAAGTTCTCCACAGCCCCAAAGTGGGATTTGACAAGAGGATGGTACCTCCCAAACCCTGCTTTGACAAAACAAAAACCACGCTACCATCCTTAGCTCTTGCTTTTATACCTCTGAAGTCTTGCAATTCATTTCGTTTCCTCCAAAGCACCCAATATAATCATCTGTAAGGGAACATTGACGCCCATGATTTTGCAAGTGTTAAACAAAGCCCAAACATATTAAAAGGGCAAAATATAAGTGACAAAATTATTTTAAAAGTGCTGTGATCCTGGAAAACTGAAAACAGTTCAAGCGCAAAGGACTGCTATCCAGGGAGAAGAATGTTACTCATCAACTTCTCATCTTACTACGAAGCCCAACACAGAGAACTTCAGTGGGACTGCACACACAAAGACAGTGGAAAAACCCATCCTTGCCAGCAGTGCCCTTCACACCCTCCAGAGAGACGAGGCCATGAAATCCTTTGGAGCCGCTCACACTATTTTGCACTCATCAGCTCATTTCCCTAATGGTCAGGTCTTGCGAACATCCTGGGGGAAGCTACTTGGTATCAGAGTATTAATCTTTTACAGAAGGCTCTACACTAATTCCAAAACTGAAACCCAAGGGGCTGGTCCAAAACCCACTGATATATTTCAGTTAATAAGGCCTGTAAGTAAGAACCAGAAAATCAGGAAGACGAGGTAAAAGAGGGAGCTTAAGATACTGACACAGAGGAGAAAATGAGGAGGAAAAGACAAGCAAACAGGAGATGTCTCTGTAGATACCTCATTAAAGCAAATTCTGTAACAACGTGTTTAGCAGCAAAATCTAAGCCAGCTCATGCATTAAAATTCTGCCCAGCCTGCAAAAGAAAACAGTCTCCGTTAGACTGTTGCATGTGCCCAGTCTCTTCTCTAGTTTTGTCATTTGCCCAGAGAACAGCATAATAAACTGCTTCTAGTGACAAAGTCAAATGACTCTCTGTTATGGCATGGCATGTCAATCACTGCTCTTTCCTGCAATTTCTGTAGCCTGTAAAGGTAAAAGGAAGCTTACTGTTCATGCGCACAAACTGAGATCCCACCCAAAAATCCATTCCCTCAGCAGACGCATGGAAAGCCAAGTGCCCGGTTTAGCTCCTCAAATCTCCCGTTGCAAACTGCAAATGCTCTTCTGAAACCCAGCACCCTGCTTCTTCCTCCCACTACCTCCCTAAGTTACACAGCTTGCAAAGACTCGCAACCGCCTCCATATTTCATAGTTGGTTTTGTTTGCTCTAAAAGCAAGTACTCCCCTCCACCTCTAATTTTCTATATATAAAGATGAAGGGAGGAGATTTATGGGCTTTATTATGCTGTCTGTACTATGTCTGTAGTGACATACCAGACCAATACTTC